TTTTTTCTTTTTGCTTATGTGGTGCTGAGGAATCGAACCCAGGGCCTCAGGCATGCAAAGCAAGCGCTCTACCACTAAGCCACCTTCCCAGCCCTCTTTTTATGTTTTGGGTAAGAAATCTCCAGAAAATTACCATGGATATTGGGGTACTAATATTATTAGTACTGCCTTTATGTAAGTCAAGTTTTACTTTGGTTAGTAAGGTTTGGTAAGACACAGATATGATGAAAGATGAAAAATACAGATTGATGACCACTGTGAAAATGATTACAAGTCATGCTAAGAGAGAACCAAAAAACCAAAACCAACAAAAATACCTCCTATTAGACCAACCAAAATTTTCATACACATCAAGGGAACATTTATGGTAGGCTGCCATTTACCCCAAATACTTTTTGGTCTAGGTTAAATTTTAACAAGGAACTTGGCCTGCTGATTATTTTAATACCTTTTCTGCACAAAACTGTCCTTTTCTATTGACTAAGCTATTCGTTAGTGTAACCATGAGACTATTATAAATGAAATGGCCTACACAGGAATTTCTACAGATTTTTGTTTATTCCTGGCTAAAAGTCTGGAACATTTAAAGAATTAGAATTTGGCAACCAATGTGCTAGGCTAATTGAGTTTATATAATTATGCATACATTATGGAAAATGTGGTAATGATACAATTTCTCTAAGTTATTACATCACACATAATGCCATTCATCCCATTTCCTTAAGAGTAAGAATGAGATTCAATTAATTCAGTCTGCCTTTCTCTGAGTTATACAGAAATATTTTAAAAAACGGTTGCTTTAGCTCCAATGTCATACCTGTACTTTTCCCCACATTGTTCCATCTCAAAAATCAAAGAATTCCTGAGCTAGGGCTATTTTCAAAAATCTATAAAGTGAAATGGCAGCACAGAGAGACAGTCCATAGTCATGGACTAAGGCCTGGAACAGAGTTGCATATCAGGGAAGGCTTCAACCAATAGTAACATATTACATCACACAGGAAAATGACACAATTCAAGAAAGTAATATTAAGAGATAGTGAGACTTCTTTTGGGGGGGGGAGGGGGTGGGTCATGGGGCCTGAACTCTGGGTCTGGGCGCTGTCCCTCAGCTCTTTAGCTCAAGGCTAACACTCTACCACTTGAGCTACAGCGCCACTTCTGGCTTTTTTTTCTGCTTATGTGATGCTGAGGAATTGAACCTAGGGCCTCAAGCGTGCAAGGCGCTTTAAGCGCTCTACCACTGAGCCACCTTTCCAGTCCTAGTGAAACTTCTTAAATCAAGGTTAGCAAGTTCTTGAAAGCAGATTCTCACTCTGGCAGGAGAGGGAGTGCAGTGCAAATAATGCTCATGTCCACTAGTGGGCAATGGTGCTTTTGAACACTGCTTGAATTTCCTCTGGTCCTGCTGGTCAGGAACAGAGTGTAGGACTTCACAAGTGTACCATACTGGCATGCCTGCTGTGAGCTACCTTGGAAATCTGTAGCATTCATTATTGTGTAACTTTACACAATTTCAGTTCTATTGTTACTCTGAGGAAAAGACTTATTTTTAAAATATCACAATATTGGGCTGGGAAGGTGGCTCAGTGGTAGAGCGCTTGCCTTGCAAGCTCGAGGCCCTGGGTTCGATTCCTCAGTACCACATAAGCAAAAAGAAAAAAAGCTGGAAGTGGCGCTGTGGCTCAAGTGGTAGAGCGCTAGCCTTGAGCTGAAGAGCTGAGGGACAACGCCCAGGCCCAGAGTTCAGGCCCCACGACCGCACCCCCCCCCCAAAAAAAATCACAATATTTTGAGCCAGGCACTGGTGGCTCACACCTGTAACCTTAGCTATAATCCTATCTACTCAGATCTGAGGATCACAGTTTAAAGCTAGCCTAGGTAGGAAAGTCTATGAGACGCTTATCTCCAATTAAATACCAGAAAACCAGAAGTGAAGCTGTGGCTCCAAGGGATAGAGTGCTAGTCTTAAGCATTAGAACTCAGGGATAGCACCCAGGCCCTGAGTTCAAGACCCATGACTGACAAGGAAAAAAAATCAATCAATCAATCTATCTATTTATCATATATATATATATATATATATATATATGGAACATGAGGAACAAAAATGAGACACTCCTATGATATGCTATGTTTAGATTTAGTTAACCTTCCTCTACTTTATTTGAGTAGCTCAACTGAACACTTAAAACTTTTCTTCCTGGAAGTGGCGCTATGGTTCAAGTGATAGAGCGCTAGCCTTGAGCTGAAGAGCTGAGGGACAGCACCTAGGCCAAGAGTTCAGACCCCACGACCGACCAAAAAAAAAAAAAAAAAAAAAGAAGAAAACTTTTCTTCCTTCCCCACTGACATGACATCGAAGATGATGTGGTAGCCAGGACAGAAACCTGACCCACATACATGCCCTTTCTGGCAGTCAGAGGAAGTCTGAGAGAGGAGTAAGTCAGATTCACATCTCATAGATATGCTTCTATTTGATAGCTACCTTCCCTTTGTAAAATAAAAATTCTTATTTTAAATTTTTTTTGGGGGGGCATGGTGGCAAGTATTTATCATTCTGGTTATATAGGAAGAGTAAATAGAGCAAGCCTGGTCCAGGTAAGAACATTAGATGCTATCTGAAAGAAGTATAGAAGCCCAAAGGTCTGGAGCTCTGGCTCAAGCGGTAGATTGCCTGTAAGTGCCTGAGTTCAAATCTCAGTACCAGTAAGGAAAAAAAAGGCTTTCCTCAGAGTTGGGCAGAGAGTAGAATGTGGAGTTAGGAACAATAGACTACAGCAAAAATTATGTGATTTGTTACCATAGGCTAATATAGAAGTTCACATATTAGAATGTACCAACTTTCTCTTTTCCATGGAGTACTACAATCTGTTTCTGAAAATGGTATCCAGTGTGATACAGACCCAAAATTGTAAAAATACTTGGTTTAAGCACATAACACACTCTAAATTTGTCTTTAAGAACATTAACATGACTAAGTGGGCACTCTACCTGACCTTCTCAATCCTGAGATCCATCAATTATAATAAGCAAAGTCATGATAAGACTACTACATATGACATGGAATATACATTCTGATTTCAGAAACACTAGAAAATATACAAAACTCAGGTGTTGGTGGCTTATGCCTGTAATCCTAGCTACTCAGGAGGCCAAGATTTGATGGTTGTGGTTCAAGGCCAGCCAGGGCAGGAAAGTCTGAGATTGTGAACTCCAATATACCATCAGAAAACTGGAAGTGCTGCTGTGGTTCAAGTGGTAGAACACTAGCCTTGAGCTGAAGAGCTGAGGTACAGCGTTCAGCCCAGAGTTCAAGTCCCACAACTGACAAAAAAAAAAGAAAATATACAAAATTGTCTCAGAATCAAAGAAGTATGGGTTTATACTTATTATCTTGAGGTTATATGTTTAAAATATCAAAATACATTTTACCCAATTTTTAAGATATATTATGCATGCTTAGAAGCTTTTGAAAAATGTTCTTTTTTATTCAGTCATGCATGTATTCACATATAAGAACTATTTACCTACATCTACCTTCTAATTTGCATTTCATAGATAGCAGAGAATTTTAGTGCTACATGAGACCTCAAGCCAGGGTGTCTGATTTCATACACAATGCTAAGGTGACCAGGACAATATCTCCAAAAGGGCCTCATCCACTTTGAGTTCATACCCCAGCTATAGGTGCTCACACTAGCTTTAATAGACCGCTTAGCATGTGCCACACACAGACCACACATGGGCAGTTCAGTTGAGAAATGCTTTCTGACACTGATTTGAAACTGTTCTCTGCAACTTGACCTAGTGGTCTTATACTGCCTCTTATATTAGGCTCTATAAATTACAGGTTTTCTTCAGATGTTCCTACTTCTTGGCCAGCTTTCCATCCTATCATACCAGTGGGAAATATGAATTCTATGCAAATGAACTTAAGAATACCAGAACAATATATGATATCAATGCAAGCACAATGTATTTTATATATACTTGTATTTTATATATATTTGTAAGTGTATCCCTTATTTGCAATCAGTCTTCATTCAGTTTCACCTTCAATTGGAGTTATTCATGTTTTATATGTAGGTATAACTCCCAGTCTGTCCTTTGACACAGGTTACATTAAAGAAGTCAGTGTCTACGTATGCTAAAATACTGATCTACCTGGGCAATGACCCAAGTTCTTTAAGTGTTCTAAAGTTAGGACTAGCTGGTCAAGGTAGGATCATTTTCATTATTTTCTTCCATATTAAAAACTAAATTTAAGTCTCTGATAAGTTACATGTGTAGCACAGAGTGTCTCTTTCAACAACCTACTCTCCATAGGTGTACCCAATGCTGCAGATGGCCACACCTACAAAGAACTGTTTCTCCTGGGCTTTTGCTGCTCCCTGCTGGTCAAACTGAGGTCTGACAGAGCCTAAAGGAAGAGGAAAAATGGATATTGCAGATATATAGAGTCTTTTCCTATTTTTTATTTTCAGGAGGAAATTCATTTTCAGTTCTGGGGTCTCCTTGGGGGTCTCTTGCATGTTGGATGTATGTCACATTTGGTTGGCCCAAGAGAAGGTATTGTATTGATTGCTAAGTAAAGATTTTTTTTCTCAATGAGACATACATGGTCACACATTTCCCACAGAATACCTAGGTACATATGTAAATGAACAAGTGTGTATATATGCATACACATGTTCACACACATAAATGTGTATACATAATCTAGTAATACACTCTTCTTGTGGTTTCAGGCAGAGTTTCATATGGAATTCAAAGAGCTGGTGAAGGAAAAGCTGAAGCCACTCAGCCTAATCAGAGTAAGAGATAGCAAGGAAGACTGAGTTCTAGAAGACAGGCTAATTTACAAAACATCAGAACCAACTCAGGATGAAAAGGAATTGTAGAATCACATGCAAATGCTGAATCAGCAATATACTATTTCCTGGAAATGTAGGAGAAAATGTGACCAAGGAAAATGTGTCACCAAAAAAATAGATAAAAGTTAAAAAGAGAGATGGAAGGGAAGGGAGGTAGGGAAGACAGGCTCTCTGTGGGTAGCAGGAAGAAAGAATGAAAATCAACCATGGCTTTTGGCAGCAACACGCGGCCAGCTGTCTCTCTCCTCTGATTCAAAATACCACCAAAAATTTGCAGCAGGAGGAGCTTCTGCATATGAAGGTTGTTTCTTCATTTGTTAATCATTTATTTGTTAATCATGTTTTTGTTTATTTTCTCTTTCTTAAAACATTACCTTTGGAGGTAGGACCTTTGTCTGCTTACATATTTTTTTTAATATTTTAAGGTTTAAGTACGTATTATTATATAAACACTCTGGTGAATAGAAGTATCGCCTGTTTCTGCTGCTAAATAGGAAATTAAAATAAAAAAAACTCCAAGGCTCCTGGTTTTGTTTTTTTCAATCCCTTGTCTTCAGAGCTAAAGCAAGAAGTTCAACAATCAAGTATTGTATCCTGAAGTGTATCCCTGTGTGTCCTACAGTTAAGTGAAGACTTTAGAACTAGTGTTTTAAGGCTATCAAGTCAATGTGTGGCAGACTTACGTAATACTGATTTAAGTAAGCTTCAAATGAAGTAGAGGGGTTATACCATTATGTTTAACTGCTGGGGTGCAAATGTGGGGAGATGCTGTAATTTGATTCCATAATAGTATTACTTTGAACTGTTACCAATACAAGTTTTGAGTATAATGTGTTTACTCTTAAAGTATATTAAGAAAAAGGTATAAAAATCACAGTGATTAGAAATGATAGGAAGACTTTCGATATTCAGGTATGAAAGACAGCAGTTGGAATGATAACCAGTAAGTGACAAGGTGAAACAATGACTAGTTACATCATGCTTGCAGAGGAGATGAAGTAATTCAGAGATACTAAGAGAAATGGGATTTATTATAGATGGTCATATTAATTTTTTATGGGCTCCAAAGCTGAAATCTTTTAGGTTTTTTTTGCTTTCAGAAACCCATAAGCACATGAAATGCTAATATTTCTAGAAATAGCACATGATGACACATCTCTTCTAGTGACTGATAAAAGTAGATTAAAAATATGCTCCCATGTATTGGCAAGATCTCTATTGTGAAGTTAGAAAAGCCCCAAAAGTTAGGAAGGCAAGATGAATAAAGTCTTGCAAGTGAAGCGGCCTTAAAAGCAGACTTCAACCTGATTAAATCTTACCATTGTCTACAGAAATCCCAAGCACACTTGATATCTTTCTCACACTGAAAACACAGAAAAAGTCACTTCGTTATTGGACGCTTTTCCACACCCTCACAAATTGATTTGAGGGCGTTGTTTTAACAGCAGTGTAAGGTGTAACATACATTCAGAGCCGGAATGTCAGAATGTGGATGCTTGATCAATTACTGGCATGAGATAGAGATGGAAGGAATCTATCCCAGATCTTCTCATGAGGCACTGGGAAAATCAATGAGAAACTGGCTACAGGCATGAATTCAAACATGGGAGAATGTTTGGCCATCAAACTTGCTCAATTCTGTTTGGAGGATGGGGCAAAAGGCCTAACGTTTTAAGGATAAATGCTGTAGTTGACCATGTTCCACATTATGTCATTCACCAGTGCTCAAGACTCTCCTCCAGGGAATGGAACTGTGCCATGAACTCTTCATCCTGCTTGCTTTGAGCTGGAAGAAAAATCAAGTTGGTGATGTGATATGGTGTGGCCGGGGCTCTACCCTCTGAGATGGCAGTGAAATGTCTGGCTGTTATGATGGTATGTCATGGGACTTACTGTGGTTAAAAGTGACAGAGTTATCCAGGCTGCCCAGCTGCTGCAATCTGGCATGCATCATTCCTGTTCTGTTACGGGAAACAGGCAATGTCTGAGATTTTCGATCATGAACTATGGATCCCAACCCCTCCTGGTTCCTGCAACATGAGTGAGATGGGATAGAAGCAAAAGTTAGATGTGTTACTCTGCAGCAAGATAGGAGGGTTAGTGAAGCTAGGATACAGCACAGGGGATAGGGCCACGCTTTGATGGAGTGTAGCTGAGCAGCCAGACACAAACAGGAGGCAATCTTACAGAGTTCACAGCAAAATACCTAACAACAAAGAAGCAAAAAATCAAGCCAAAGCACAGACATCCTCAGTTTTTAGAAAGTATGTTGGAGATGCAACTTTTAAAACAGTGAACATCATTTCAATGTGCTGCTTTATAAAGGCGGGTGTTCTAACAACTGTCAGAACATCGTGAACCTTTATGGATTACATATGTTTAAAAGAGCAAAAAAATGTTTTTCTATTTTGAAAAAAATGCACTGGAAGAAACAGAACAAACATGCAATGGGACAGAGTATATGAGGCAGTTTTAACACTTTTGTTCTTACCCAAGCAGGAAGAAGAGCCATACACTTTGTTAAACTTGTCAGCAGTCAAGTAGAGAAAACATAAGAGTGATCTGGGTTAGCAATCAAACAGCTGACTTCCTACTGTGTACCATCACCAGAGCAGATGGAAAATAAGACCCGTGCGGGAATGAGACCTGTCCCCCGACCCGAAGCCAACCGTGCCCCTTGCTGTGTTACTGTATGTAGGAGAACAGGGACATGCATGGACCATCACTAACAGCATGCTTCTGGGTGGTTGGTTTCCAAGTGAAAGGAGGAGGCCCTGTGTTCACATAACCGGACCACTGGGGATGGCAGACACTGACAACATTCACATCATGGCTCAAGATCTCTTTCTCATGCAGCAGACACCATGGTGATTTTGGAATAAGGCAGGACATATCTTTCCACAGCACATGGGACAAGGTAACACATCTCCACTCTCATCTTCCTCTGCCTACCATATTTTTAATGTAGTCTGTATTAAATGCAAATATATACAGAGGCTCATAAAGTCAGATTTCTTAGAAAAAAATTTATACCCATGTGGAAAAGAAAGTCAACCACTTCACAAAACCCAATTTAAAATATTTTGTCAGGAAGAAATCTTCAGCTTCCCACATTCACCATTTTAAGCTCTGAGGCATTGAAATTCTACTTGTACAACCTTTTCCAAATGCTATCTTGTGACATATATGGCAATAACTGCAAGGGGGTGTGAAGCACACCCAGCACAGTGCTTTTCTGCTACAGTGTTCACCCTCTGTACGGACAAAGTCGGTGAGAATGCAAGTCAAGGAATGAGATAGGACTGGCAAGAAGGTTCTTTGTATGTACTTGCACTTAATACTTTAAGACACAAACATCACTGTTACAATAAAAATACAAGATTAGAGAACTTTAAATTACCACAATTCAATTAAAACCAGATAGTATTAATAGTAGGAAAATAAATCATCTCTCTAGTTTGTTTTTCTTTTTTTTTTTTTT